AATTTTTTTTTTATGAAGTCAGTTCCATTAGTGTTTCCCGCCCCATGTTTAAATATGTTACAAAACAGTCAAAGCAGTGACTGAAAAAATCTAAAGGAGTAAAAATACGAAGTAATAAGGAAAACTTTAAATTCTTGAAACAAAAATTTTGGAGGTATAATACTAACACAAGCTATATTTTTTTCAATATTATAGAAACTGTTGACTTTAGAAAGGTATAAGTTAAAACATTTATTATCATTATTATTATATGCAAATATATATATATATACATATATATATATATATATATATATATATATATATATATATATATATATATATATATATATATATATATATATATATATATATATATATATATATATGTATATATATATATATATGCATATATATATATATATATATATATATATATATATATGTATATATAAACTTATATATATATATATATATATATATATATATGCATATATATATATATATATATATATATATATATATATATATATATATATATATATGTATGTATATATATATATATATATATATATATATATATATATATATATATATATGTATATATACATATATATATATCTATATCTATACATATATATATATATATATATATATATATATATATATATATATAATATATATATATATATATATATATATATATATATATATATATATATATATATATATATATATATATATATATATATATATATATATATATATATATATATATATATATATTACTATACAATACCATAATATACCTCTAAAAAAACTTGAGTATTATGGAGTAAAAAATAGTAACTTTGTTTCAAAAGTTATTTGATCAATAGAAAGTAAATTATACAAAAAAAACAAAAAACAATTCCATATGCTGTAACTTGTGGTGTTCCCAAGGGCTTTATTTCAAGATCCTTATTATTCATAGCATACATAAATGTTTTAAATTTAGCAACAGACTTCTTAAATTGTATCTTTTTGCAGATGACTTCAATCTTTTTTTCTATTCCCACAGAGATATTAAAACACTTTTTAAAACTTTAAGTTGGGTAAGGTTAATAAGTAGTTTATGAGTAATAAACTCTCTCTCTCTCTCTAAGTGTGGATAAAACCAAATTTATTTTATTCCATAAGGTAAATAAATTAGAAAATAAACTATAAACTGCCAAATCTAATAATCAATAACGCTAACATTAAAAAAAGAAACTTCAGTAAACTTTTTGGGTGTAGTATTAGATGAACATTTAGATTGGAGTGATCATACAAAAAACATCGAAAAAAAATTTCAGAAAATAACTACATTGTCCCTAAATATAATTTAAATAAATTGCATATTCAATTCAATATCGTAAACCTTATTTGTGGAAAAACTGACCTTATATTGCAAATACAAAAAAAGTTAGTATTCAACAGTTTAAAAATGAATCGAAACAGGTGTTATTACTTGGATTTTAACATATCCGATTTTATATGCTCCTTTCAAACTAAAATTCAATTATAAAAATATGTCTCAGAATGTATCAACTTTTTTTCATTAATTCAGTTATGGTGTTTCCTCTTAAAAGTTATTGTTGAAATCTTATCTGAATTCTTGAATATATTTTTTTTTAACTATTAATGACTTTATTATACTTTTATACAAATCGGTTTTAAAAAATACATATATATTACGGTTTTTGTAAATTAAGTAATCTTTCATTTTTAATTTTTCGTTCTTTATTTAAGTATTACTTTATTACAAACTTTTATATTTTATTTTTATATTTTTTAATAAGTTGTATAATATACGTATAAAGTAAGGCTCTTGTAAAGACGTGGTTTTTAATTAATTTATTTTTTGTTTTTCTTTCTTTTTTTTTGATTTTTCTTGTTTACTTGATTATTACTTTTAACATAATATTGTTCTTGAAGTAATAGTCTAAATGAAGTCTAAAATTAATTGTAATTTACTTTACATTTATAGTTTTAAATAAATAATTTGTCAAGTATAAATATATTATACGGTTTTTGTAAATACGTACGATTAGGGTTCGGTGATAAGATATAATAATTTCTTCCACTTGCCACGCCAGTATTTTTATTTACAAACTTTTAAATTGTAAAGTTTATTAAAAGGCGAAATAAATAAACAAACAAATATATATATAATTATATATATATATAATTATATATATACATATATATATATATATATATATATATATATATATATATATATATATATATATATATATATATATATATATATATATATATATATATATATATATATATATATAGAGTTTATTTTTTGAATTTTTTGTCTGGTAATATTTCTCAATAAAGTCTTCTGATAAATTTAATATTTATTACAGAGTTTTTTATTGTAATCTTTTGAAAATGTAATGTGAAATTACAAAACATGATTTAAAATTATCGTGTTATTTTTAAAAAAATACTTATTTTATGGTATTACGACATTTAAAAAAATTTTTATTCAACAAAAAATAATTTTGTATTAGAAAAATAATTAATTTGCTCAATTATCTTTTGAAAAAAGTAATTTGTTTCACATTTATTAACAACATTTTGAATTGTGTATGTTTTATTTTATTTGTGTTGACTTTTACCTTATAATTACCTTATCTTTTTTAAAGCTATGTTATTCATATATGTTTGCTTTGTTTGTGAGATTTTTACTTAATTTAAGATACTCAGAACAAAGAAAGTTTATATTATGCAAAAATATTTTCAAAATAAACTAAGCCCACAAGCGAAGCAGTTGTTCTGAATGTCTAGTCAATTTGGTTAATAACAACTTAGATTGAAAAAGTATCTAAAATCTAATTTCTCAGATCAGATAGTGCGGCGACGGGGAGGGAAATGAATTGGGAGCCTTGGCCTTCCCACGTTTTTTAAAAATTCAAAAATTATAGACAAATCTAGAAAGAATTTAAATTTTTGGTTTAAGTTAACTTCTTTTTTTTTAAACTTTCTTAAGTATCATTTATAAGTTTTGGAGCTTTGCATAAATCTGCATTTAAAATTAGATCGTTTTTTTGACGTCATGAAAAAATATTTCCATCACAATAAAAAGAATGTTTCCTTCCTTTTGTTGTGATGTCAATATTTAATTTAAAAATTCTTTCAATTTAACAAGTTATTTTTAAATCTTAAACTAAAAGCACGGTATTATAAAATTGATAAGTTTTTCCGCAATTAAAACTTGAGAGACAATCAAATTCATTTTTATATTTTGAGAAATGCACAGAATGAGTTGATTGTCACACATAGTAGCTTTCACAAAAAACTAATGTTATATAAAGTAACTAAAGTTATATATAGTATATTTTATATATAGTAACTAAATTTTCAATAATATTATTTTTTATTTAATTATAAACAACTTTTATAACTAGAAGAGCTTTTGCAACCTACAGAAAGTTTCCTATAAAAATGTTTAATACAGAGGAAACAACTCTTCTGTAATGTTCACCAATATTGTTTTCACTTCCTAAAATTCTCCAAGAGTATTCTGCTCATTTTTAAAAATACATTTCTTCAGTTATTTTGTAGAATATTATTTTGTAATATTTTGTCATTTTTGAGTAGTAGTTTTGCAGAGTTTATTGCATTAATATTGCGAGAGCAATATTGTAAAATAGTTTATATACAACCATTAGCTTTTAGTATGAAAAGCTCATTAAACAATATAAAAACATTGCTTAATGGAAAAATGCTAAAACATAATCATGATTTTCAAACATAGCGTTTGGCAGACACTTGGCAAAGGATATCAACAATACAATGCAAATTTTGTAATAAATCCTATTTAAATTGTTCGCGGCATTAATATTTTGATATTTGATAATACGTTGACAAATCTGGTTTTGATGCTTTGTCTAAGATTTATTTTTTATTTTCATTTTCTTCTTTTCAGCTTAAGAGCCGCATTAACCGCAGGTTGCCGACCCCTGGTATAAGTGTTTAAATAATAAAATGTAGACCTTGCTCTACATTATATTATTTAAATATTCTGCATTTTACTATTTAAATTATTATTATTATAACGGTCTACATTATATTGTTTAAATTATTTACTTACATAAATCTTTTTTGCTTGCATAGCAGAGTAACCAATAACAACTTTGAAAAAATAATAGTGTTACAAGTAAACATCTCGTGTGTGCTTATTTAGTTCTGTACGTGTTGGGTCTTTTTAAAGCGCAACACGGTTTTTAAAAAATAGGATTATAAATATTATAATATATGAATCGGTAAATGTTAAAAGGGCGGAAGTTCAACAGTGTAAACTTTTAGGAAACTAAAAAAACCTGCATTTTCCCCCGTAATGAATTTTTATTAATAGTTTAATAATTTTTTGAAAGTGAAAAACGCTATCCATACATTTATCTATAGATTCACTGGTTCATATATAAATAGCTTTATTGAAATACTAAAGGTTTCGCGAGTATGTAATACAGGACTGCAAACACTGCATAATTTTCCTTTTTTAAGTAACTAAATTTATTTTTAAAAAAGTAACATTATTAACTTCGAATTATCTTGATCTTCCCCTCCCCCTATAAACAAGTGTCAAAAAAGTTCAGACCTTCCCCCAATTTTGTTGACGCAATTTATGGACAACCCCTAAATTAGTTTTGTTGTAGAGTAATATATAAATAACTTATTCATACCTTCATATTTAACTCGTATTTAAAAAACAAAAAAAATCAAGTATCTCATAATTAAACTTGTTTTTGAAGAAAAAGAAAAGCAAATCAAAAAGCTTACAAGATCCTTTACAAGATGGCACATTGATCGTAATTGTACCACCAGTACTAGCCTTAGCCTTCTTGTCGCGTGCGAAATTTTTTTATCTACCACAGATAATTTTAAAAATTTGCTAGTAAATTACATGGAAAATAATAACAAATAATCAAAAATAATACATTGCAATGAAGTGTTTAATTTACATACATCATAAAAATGAGTACTTTATTTTCATAAATATTTTTTTAATTTACAACTACAAAATTACAACATGTGAAATTTCAAAATTTCAGCCCCAATTTACTTGTTGCACTCGTGGTACGAACAATCCCCAGAAAGCTTGTGCTGTGTATTACTCACCTTTATGGGATAGTATCGGTGTGGTTAATGTGTCTTTGTCTTTAATAGTAAATTACTAGTGACATTAAAACCGCACTAAATCAGAAAGATCGCCACTCTATATTTGTAAGTTTAAATTTCAGGTGGTTCCAATGAGGAAACCATACCACATGTTTATCACTCACTATAAAGACATAAAACTTGATATTAAAAAGTTAAACCAACTGGTCATGAAAGTAAATATATATTATTAAATTATACACATTATTTATTTAAAAATTAAGACCTTTCCCATCCCACTCTCACTTTTCACAACGGAAAAAAAAATTAAAAATAGTCTTCCCTCCCTTCCCTCACCTCCCTTCCTTCCACCTTCCTTCCTTCCACCTTCCCTCCCTTCCCTCACCTCCCTTCCTTCCCTTCCCTCCCTTCCCTCACCTGCATTTTTTATTTTTTATTTTTATCTTTTATTTTTTCACATTAAATGTCTATTTGCAAGTTAAGCACATAAATATAGCCTTCTTTGCTCGTTTGTGTAAACATGGCTTGCAGCTTCTGTTATCAATTTGAAGCATTTTTTAATTGTATGTGTATGAGCCCAGAAAGAAACTTCCATATGGTAGTTAACAAGCTCTTTGATAGTGGCAGAGTTAAAAGTGTAGATAAATGGATAAATTATACTTAAAGCCCATGCTATAGGGTTTAATGGTTGTTCAGCATTTGAAATTTTTTCTGGTTTACTTCTTACTTTGAGACTGCAAGCTCTAAGTTGAATTATTTTATGTACATAATTATCTTAATGAGGTATAGATTGATTTTAATTTTCACGCACTCCCTAGCAACGCCGCTGGATTGAACTCGGAAATTCTTGCTTACGAAGTGAGCGCTCTACTAATATGCCAATACATCATAAGTTACTTTTTAGAATGGGTTTCGTTGATGAGCTTATTACCACAAACTCCTTTTTGTGTGTGTGTGCGTGTGTGTTAACTTTGAGCTGTTCTTTCTGAAAAACGAGCAATGTTATTTGGTTATTGTTAACTGACTAACCAGCAAAATCAAGGGTGAGTAAGTGTCAAGTGTGGGTGTGGATTAAGGAGGAAGAGGAGAGAGAGAAAAGGAGGTTGGTTGTAAGGATGATTTCCGACTATATATTGGTCTTATATTTATAGGTTGCCGAGAAAAACATTTAAATAAAGACTAAATAACTTTCATCAACATGTTCTTTTTTCTTAAAAACTGGTCAATTACTCAGATCTTTTAATATTTCTTTTAAATTCAATCATTTTAATGATGAAATAAATGTTCCAAAGACATTGTTGTTCATTTATCTTAAACTTATTCAAATTTTACTCTATAAAATATTTTATATCAAAAACTGTTTGTGAATTTGAATTAGGTAACAAACTGCTATGAGCTTAAATAAACAGTTAATAGAGATCAATGCCTTTTACACGTTTACGAGCCAATAGTATTGAGCTTTCATGCTTACATTGTTACTACTATTTTCTTTTAAAGTTCTAACAAAGTTCTCTACTGTTTATTAATAGTATTGCACAATTGAATAACTAAAAATGCATCGATTACATTAAGTTCAACTGGTTTAAGTTTTTGTGTCAAAATTTTTGTTTCTTTCATTATGATTTCATAAAATACGCTACAACCAAACCAAATGGTAACAGTTTTATGGATAGTCTGAATGTTAATGTTCTTGAGTTTTGACGAAATTTAAACATGAAGACATTTCGTGAAGTGCTTCCAACATTATCTTATATGATATCTATACTCCTTTTATTGGTTCGACCAGTCTATCTAGTTTTTAAAATCTCTTAGATCTTTCTTATTTAGATTCCAAACATTTTAAATGAGTGTACTTTTTTGTTAAGGATGAAACTAAAATAAAAATGCTAAAGAATCGAAAGTAAATTTATAACGGGTGGACTTGCATCAAAACTCTGTTTTATAAATGTATTATCTTGGTGTGCATGACAACTGTTAGAATAAAATACACGACAAACTAGATCAGACAGCTTTTGCTGCATCCCGTTGATCTTTCAGACATACCGCTTCCAGCTTCCAAAGCCGTAAAACTAAAACTCAATGTTTTCACAGGGCAGACTATTTTTTTTTGTTACTTCTTTATTCTTTTGAGCAATTCCTGGCCTAGTTTTACCCAAACCTTCTTATACTTTAAATAATCTTTCAGAGACTTCGTCTGAAGATTTCACGTATTGTAACATACTGACAAATGATCTTAATGCGAAATATTGGGCGATGCATCAACCATCACCGATAAAAAGTTGGATTTTTTTACTTCATTGATAACTGTCTTTTTAAAAACATCTGCTACTAAGTTGTTTTTTTTATTATTAATTATTAACGTGTTACAAGAACACCTAACGGACTTATCACAGAGCACTGCGGAAGAGCACTTAACACAAATATTGCTTATTGTAACAAAGACAGATTCGAAACTTAAACCTCTTGGTTCCGAGCAAGACCTCTAACCACCGCATTATCGTTGCTTTAAACTCATTTTGAGAATCATCGCAAAGATATGTAACATTATTTTCTAAACTTTTTATCGTTAACCCAAGTTTTCATGGTTGGATTATGTCGAGTTAAAAATTATACTTTGAAAATTATATATTAAGTTAAAAAACATTGACAAAATATATATGTTTGTCGTTATTTAAACAAACTATATAAAACCATAGGCTTTTTTAATTCACATTTACAATCCAATAATTTGGTAATATATATAGAAATAAAGTAACTTTTTTTTTTCACTTCTTTTATTTACGTATTTATTCACTTCAAGTAACAGTGTTTTTCGGTTTTCAAAAACTTTTTTTAGTTTGCCAACTGACTGAACTAATTTCAAAATTTGTTAAATGTCAAACCTAATCGGTCAAAATTTGCCGAATGACATTAATAACTTAATTTAAAAATCCATCTTTGCGCCGGCCTTGAGAGAAAAGTATGCGTCCTTTAAGAAACTTACAAAATACTAGTTTAATACATTTTTTGGTAACCAACGCATTATTGGTAATAACCAATAAAAGTGAAAGTTTATTAAGCTAGCACTTTCAGTTTTGACAATATCACTTTTTAAAAAGTGATGTTTTTTTTAGCCAGATAATATTTCTCTCTTCTCTTTTTTTTTTAATTTGAAAAAGCTGATTTTACCTTAAATTTTGACATGTACTATTGTTAGGCTGCAATCATGCTACAAATTGATGCAATCATGCTACAAATTAGATTTCGCATTTTAGCGCATATTTGTTTACTTACACAGAAAGAGATTCTTGAAAATTCTTAATAAAATTTTATTGGAAATTTTAATTGCAGAACCATTTTACATTTCCAACTTTTTTGCACTTTAAGTTTATTAAATGATATGTGACTATGCATTTAATTATTGTTAGATGATATGTGACGCATATATACACTTAAATAAAAATATATACTATAAAAATAATATATACTATAAAAATAAGCATACATACATAAGAATTGTTTATATATGTTTTTTTCACACGTTGCTCATTTGAAACTTTCCTATTAAGGTGAGTTTCCACTCATCCGTTTTTTCACGGGAACGGGAAAGGGACGGAAAAAATAATCACGTGGGCATGCGTAGTATAAGTTTTAATATGTCCAAAGAAAAACTACGCATGCTCACGTGATTATTTTTCCCATTCCTTTCCCGTGGAAAAACGGATGAGTGGAAACTCACCTTAAGAATATAGTTTGGCGATTGTTATTTTTAAATGTGGTTTCAGTGTGATACCACTGTTATATAACGTTTATAAATATCGTTGATGCATCATGGATTGCATCAACTCTATTCATAACCGAGAGTGATTAGCATATGGCTTCATTTACACATACATATGCTTCCCACATAAAATTAAAAATGCATATTTGCCATCTGTTTTTTATAGCCTTTTTCTAAGTTGTTATTTTTATTTTTTATTGGTTGTTTTAAATCCTGTTTATAGATAAATATAAACTTTAAGCGTAAATATGAACATTTAAAAAAAAAACAAATTTTTAATTGACATTATTTTGGTCTCCACACCCTTTCCCATTATCAATTATTCTCAAACTTTTAAACCCCCCTCTCTCTCTGACACCATTTATGATATCATTTATCAATGACCTCTTAACATAAAAAGTTGATTTTATAAATCAGGATATACATAAGTTTCTTAAGCGTTATTAGTTCATTTATTTGTAATGTAATGTTTGTAATATAATGAAGATGTTGCAAAAAACCTGAGAAAGTATACAAAACTTAAACTTGTTTCTTTTAATAACGATAAATGCAAACTTCCAGTTTTAAATATAAAAAAATATTTTCATCTTTACTTATCATTAAATTCTTGAATTATGATTACTCACGTTTGTTGGTCACTGCACATTAAAATAAAGTAACCAGATGTCAACAAGTTATATAAATAATTTCTCTAAATCATTTTTTAAAGTCTTAATCGATCAAACTCTGAAAAGCTCAGAAATTTTTTTTATTTTTATTTTTATATGTCTATATTTCGCCGTTTAAATATTGCTACAATACCAAAATGTATAAATAAATGTTTACATGGCCGGGGCAAAAAGAAGACAAAAACAGTCTTATCATTAAGAATTGCTTTCAATATCCTTTAAAAATAAATACATTTACAGATAATAAAAATAGGTAATTAATTTTCTTTTATTTGTTACTTTGTTATATTTGTTATTGTAATTATTATTTAAAAATTTTTATTATTATCAAATGCCCATATAAGTTTACTTATACAGATTCAAATTGTTGTTTGACCACGATACGTTATATTCTGTTTGACCACGATATGTTATATTCTGTTTGACTACGACATGTTATATTCTGTTTGACCACGATATGTTATATTCTGTTTGACCACGATATGTTATATTCTGTTTGACCAGGCGATGTTATATTCTGTAAAGTTTTCATGGAAACATTTGTTGCTTACATATAATCTTAGAGAATAAAATATTCAAATCAATTTTTTTGACTTCTCTACCCCTGTTATAATAGTCCCAATAAAATAGCTTATGTAAATAATGGCGGTAATAGAGCACAGCCAAAAACAGTTTGTATGATATAAAATGTTTCTAAAAATTCTTATTTTGTTATTACTAAAGTACTATTTATTGATTTTTAATAATGCTTTTGTAATAAGTCTCCAGACATCTTGAGACTTATGTTGTTATCTTGAGTCTTGTCTCAAATTATCTTGAGACTATTTAAAATTTTGGTTTTGCTTTAAAATCTATAGACTTAAAATACTTGTTTTAACAAACTTCACATGGGGGCAAGAGTCCCCCATGCCCCACCTAGAACAATCAAAAGGTGCCCCTATAACATTCAAAATTATAAATTCAAACTACCAATGAAAAAAAACAAAAAAAACAATAAACATAAGTACAAATAGAGAGAGAGAGAGAGAGAGAGAGAGAGAGAGTGATTATTCTAAAACAGAGGTTTTAAAATATTTCATTTTGAAACATTAATATTAAACTCTGAAAAGAGAAACATTGATATCAAACTCTGCAGAGGACAAGCCTATGATGATGTTTATGTAATTTTTGGAATTAAAAGTGGTCTTCAAACTTAAATGAAAGCGCTTTCACCAAATCACCAAATGTTCATTGTTGTGCTCATGTGCTCATAAATTTGGTGAACATCAAAGCAATGTCTGTAAACAGCAATGTTCAGATAATTTTTAGGCACAGCTTAAAAATTGTATACGTACCTTACATCTAGTTAACCACGGCTTCATATTCTCCAAGAGCACCAGAAATGCCTATATGAATCAAAAGTAGACACTCTGAAACGACTTTCTGATACAAGATGAGCAAGTAGGAAGCATGCAGTTGATGCTAATGATGAATCTTTTTCTGATAATTTAGCCACTGTAGAAGATATAAATCTAGGAGAATCTAAAGAACATACAGGAAAAGTTAGAGCAGAAGCTATTTGGACTATCAGTTTTAATTAAAAAAAAACATTCATTTGTATTTCTAATGTTATTTTTGCCAAATTTCTTAATTAATCTTTTTATGTTATCTAACTATTTGCAACGAGAAAATTTATACTGTTTATTTGCAAAACAGTTGATTGATGTCACAAAAAAAGTTTGTAGATATGAGAAACGATGAAGTTCTATATTTCGCAGTCAAATCATTTATTAGTGAAAATTGTGCCAAACTAGATGTAGAAACTGAATTTAAAGAAAACTCGTCTTTCTTTAAATTCAGTTAACCTAACATCATGCCAAAAAGAAACCAATGACAGGAGAGCAGTGGAGAGATGAAAGAGTTGACAAACTACACGTCTAAAATGTGAAACCTACTTCTATGTTTTGAACATAAATAAGCGATTTCACAACTTTAGTAACTCATTTACACATTTTGATTGCCTTGATCCGTCAAAATTATCTGAAGAAAATGTCAAAATTATTGTGACGACGTAAATACTGAAGAAGCAGTCGTAGGGTATGAGACTTTCAATGATGTGTATGCATTGATATCCCCATCACTAACAACTAACATACAATTGAAAGATGTACTTCAGTTTTTGATTGAGAAACACATAGCCCCGGTCTCCATAACTTGTCTATAATTTACAAAATCTACTTGACTCTTCCTGCTACACATACTAATGTTGAAAAAAGTTTCCATGAACTAAAGATTACAAAAAACTATTTTAGATCAACAATGATAAACGAACGTTTTCCAGGATCAGCTGATCCTGGAACGTCTTCCAGGATCAGCATTAATTTCTATTGAAATGAGCTGACTGAAAACATTGACTTTGACTTGTCGATAAATCGTTTTGCTTCAATGAAATCTCGCATAATTTGTGTAAACTACTTGAAAAGTGAATTATTTTTTTCTTAATGCTAACTTTTGTAATATGCCTAGTTAAATACATTTTTAAATGACTATTTCAGTAATATTAAATTTTTCTTATTTTATAAAAGATAATTGTTAACTAAAATAAACAAAAATCACTAAAAAAAAATTATGTCATTTTGTATTTTATATGAATGTAATGTGTATAATAAAAGCCTCATAAAAACATTTATAAAGTGTTATAGTCATGAAAATAGTTTCTGGGATTTAAAAAACCACACCCAACCCCGTGGTCCCTTATTTATTGACTTGCCCCCCCCCCCCCCGCAGCACTAAACCTCAATCCGCCACTGGTGTAATCTCCTTGCCCAAATGATTAACGTTAAATGATAACTTCTTTCTTTTAAAATAAAAGCAGTTGATAGGTATTAGTGGTAAAATAATAATTACCAAAGAAGGTTATTGAGTTTTTACATTGGATTTTAGTTTTATTTTAAGGGTATATTTAATACTTTATAAGTTATATATTTAATACTATATAAGTGAAATGTTGCACAAAATTAAAAAGTTAGGTGATTCAAAGCTATCCCACCACCGTAAGTATTAAAATTTATTTATACAAAATTTTAATTTGTATATTAACTTGAATTCATCAACAGTGACATCACAAGCATGTCTTAGTCACAAAATCTTTAGTGATTTGATGATATTAACGATATATTGATGGTATCAATAAAATTAAGACGGTAATCGACGTTTACGACAAATAAATTAGACCGTATATCAGTTTACGCCAGCAACACCGATCCATTTTTTATCGATTTCTTTTAATAAGTAAATTAAATATTACAATAAGTATTAATTGATAAAAATATAATTGAGTTGTATTAACAGGCTTTACGAGGTATTAAATTAAAATAAGAGATATTAAATGGTTTATTCAGACTTAATAAGTTTATAAATTATAAACAAATTAAGAAACAATAATCTATAAAATATTTGAGTTGTGTCGCTCCCCATTGTTTTAAATAAGTTTTCCTAAGAGACAAGATAACGTTCGCCTGCACAATTTGATAATACAAATAATAAAATAGCTTTGTTAAAAACAATGTATATTATATTTTAAAAATGGGAAACAAATATTTACTTAACGTTTCTAATCAAAAGATTTTTTATGTCTATTTTACGTCTTATCGTGTCTTGAATTTTTAGAGTTTTATTAATGTAGTCTTTACAGTTTAAGATGTTTATCGAAAATAACAAAGCCATTTATTTAATTAATAAAGTTCTTAATTTTTCTAGTCTCATTATTGCCTAAAAAATTGCTTTTAGCAGATTACGTCATTTATCTTTTTATTTTAAATTTTTCTTCAGGATTAGAAGAAATATTGCTTTCTTTTTTTAAATAAGCATTTAAAGTTTTTTTTGGATGTATTATTAGTTACTGCATTGACAAATAAATATTTAAAAGTTAAGTTAGTCTGTTTAATAAAAGTTTATCACATATTATTTAATTACTTTTTTTACCGGAAAAGGAACCGAAATTCGGTTGCTTGAAATGAATATCCGTGTAAATATAATTGTATAGACGATTATTATAATACATTTTTTGCTTATGAGTAAACTAAAATGAATTTTGGTTATGAAAAATAAGCTTTTGAAGAATAAATTTTTTTTTTTGCATTTTTTAAATTAAGGTAATTAAGAATACTTTTCAAAATCAATAGGTTATATATCTATTGATGACGTATATAACCGAGGCATATTTTATAAATGTTATGTAAGTATTTTATGCTTATATTTTTATAATAAAGTTATTTTATTATAGATTTGTTGTTAATATTTATTTTTAGTTTGTCTTCTTTTTATTTTTTGTATTTATTTTTTTATTATTGATGTTCCAGCTACTCAATGTTCGAAGCTAACACAAAACGTTCAAGAATGTTCAACGAACGTTGTGAACGTTTGAAAACGATCTAAGGACGTTCATAGAACGTTCTTAAACATTCGAAACGTTTGTTGAATGTTTTGTGTATGCTGGGTTAATCTCTTATCATTTTTAGTCTTTATTTATTATCTTCTCAAGCTTTTTGAGATATATATATATTATTGACTTAAGTTATTGAATTATAATGTCTTTCTAACCAGAATTTTTTGTTGTTAACAACGAATAACTTAAAGTACTTGACCTTAAATGCAGGGCCGCCGAGTGCCATCACGCCGCCTGGGACAGCAAACCTGTTTGGCATCCTTATTTATCAAAGTTTCCCTATATTTTAGATGAAGGTTTTTTTTTTTTCCGGTACCTTCTTTTTATTTGGCGCCCCTGGAATATCTACCGCCCAGGACAAACTGTTCCTTTCGCCCACCCCACCCTCTCTTCCTCTCGACGGCACTGGTTAAATGTAATAATTTGCATTAAAACAATGACCTTGAAATTTTTGGGCTTGAAAATGCGTTCCAAAACCAATGCTTGTTTGTTGGAGCATGCGTATAAAAGCTAATATTTATGTTTTTCTTTTACCAAATGCTTTTTAAGAAAAGGAAAAAACTGTTAAAAGTTAAAGCAAACAATTAAGTATTAATTAGTTAAATCCATACTCAAAAATCTTTTTTTCATCTTTACTGATTATATAGTTTATTTATATTATTATTTTTTTGTTTAGTTAATTTTCCACACTTTTTAAAAGTTTTGAAAAAAAAAATTAACGGTATCTGAAATCTTATTTTTGTTTAAAGTTACAAAACATAAGATAAATAACATTTCTAATAATATATAAATTCAAATTGATGAAGTATTAGAATATATGTTATTGGAAAGATTTTAAAACTAATAATATGATGGCAAAAAAATGTAGTCCTATCAACTGCATGAAATTTTTTAAGTAGTAGTATCAACTACATGAACTTCTTAAGAAATCTGACTAACTTTGAAATTTGCAGTTCATCCCACGGTTGTCTCGTGATGAAAATTTTTTTTTATTTTCAAATAAGTCAATAAAACAGTGAAGGGTATTGCCATTTTCTCATTTATTTTCTGGAAAATTTGGCATGAAAGTATAAAATTGATATAAAAAATTAAATGAATAGGTTAAATAAATAGTTTAACGTATCTTTAATACTAGTGCAATTCCAGTACACAAAACAATGTTTTTACCGATAAAATAAATAAAAAAGGAAGTTAAGTCCTCAATACGAAAGTTTAACCCACTGAATTGTGCCAAATAGCCGACTAGGCGACTAAATTCGTAAAAAACCAACTATAACTTGAAAATCATCTTCTTTGGGGTAGGGGGGTGTAACACCCCTCTCCTCCACCCCTGGAAAATTGCCTCTGTATATACATATATATATATATATATACATATATATATATATTATATATATATATATATATATATATATATATATATATATATATATATATATATATATATATATATATATATATATATATATATATATATATATATATATATATATATATATATATATATATACAGTATATATACAGTGGTTTTCATAAATTTAGACGCACTCATATTTGAGAATAGAAATTTTTAGTTTTTTAACGATCAAACAATGACGAAAAAAGATTTCGGTTTAGTTTTTTTTCTATTTATTAGATAAATACATACAGAATACAAAATTTAAAAAAAGTTTGCAAAAACAAAATAAAATACTAAGTAATAATTAGGTACAACTACATGGTATTAAAAAAATTAGACAATAAAAATTATTCATAAATTTAGACGCACGATACATTAGAAGGCGTAATTTATGAACCAATCAATATTTTGTGTATCCGCTTTTTGCTTTAATACAACTAAAAACTCTTCTAGGCATAGACTCAACAAAATTTTCGCACATCGCTTCTAGTACCTCATACAAGGTCTCCTTAAGGAATTCCTTCAGCTGACCAAGTGTGGAAATTTGAACCTTTGCTAATTCACGGTCAATCTAAGCCCAAACGTTTTCAATCGGGTTCAAATCAGGTGAGTATGGAGGCCACGGTATTGCCATGATATTACTATTGTTGAACCACTCCTTTGTATAGTATACAGTATGTGCAGTAGCGCCATCTTGTTGAAGTTTCCATGGTTTATCATTGAGCATAAGCAGGTCAATTGATGGAATTAGGTTATTTTCCAGTACTTCTACGTATATTCTGGAGTTGATTCTTCCGGTGTATGTTTGGCACATACCAACACCTTTGTAATTGAAGCATAACCAGATTCCTATCGAGCCTCCTCCACTTTGTACAGTCGGTCTAATGTACCTGGCGTAATACTTTTCGTGAGCCATTCTTTTGACTTTTATGTTAGATTTGCGATTGATAAGCTCAAAGTTACTCTAATCACTTCACATAATGTTTTCCCATTGTTCTATTGTCCAATACCTTCTTTCACGACACCATTTTAGTCTTCTTTGTTTATCATATGGACGCAGAAGCGGTTTCTTCAAAGCAGTGTAGACTTCAATCTTGTATTTGATAAGTATTCGGCGGACTATGCTTTGAGAAATAGACGTATTTCGCGTTGTATTGAATTCTGTGTTCAATTCTTTGTAACTAATTCTTGGATTAGCTCTGACAGCTCTAAAACGAACACTGTCGTCCTTTTTGGTAGTTGACAAGGGTCTACCTGGCCTCGTTTTCTCGCTGGCACCACCAGTGTGAAGAAAGTTTTGTTTTGTTTGTCCGAACGCATTTCTCAGAAAATCCAATTAACTTGGCGATTTCTCTATTACTTTTGGTTCCTTCTTTGATGTGCGCAATAATTTACCATCTTTCACCTTGAGTGATACGTCTTTTGCCCATTTTTCACGTCTTTTTAGTGCAAAACTAACTTAACTTTTGTTTATTTATTAAATAATGGTTAACTAATTCCAGGTAAGTCATATTTATATAAGGTTTTTTGACAAAATCAATTAATTTAGGCCTATTAATGATAAATATGTGAAAAAACTACTAATTAACTATCAATTAACAAGATATAAGACTTTTTTGATTGTGCGTCTAAATTTATGAACAAAATAAAATCAAGCTTATCAATTAACTTTTTTGTGTTAATCGGTATATGAGTAATAAACATCCTGTAAAAAAAATTAAGGTACTCTATAATAGAGTTTTACTTCCTCTTTTAAATTATATATCAAACATAGCGGTAGCACTTTTATTTTATTTTTATTTTGAGTATTTTCTTACATTAATGAAAAAAAAAATGAATGCGTCTAAATTTATAAAAGCTACTGTGTATATATATATATATATATATATATATATATATATATATATATATATATATATATATATATATATATATATATATATATATATGTATATATTATAGTAACAAATATATGCGTATATACATATATATATATATATATATATATATATAATATATATATATATACATACATATATATACATATATATATATTATAGTATATATATATATATATATATATATATATATATATATATATATATATATATATATATATATATATATATATATATATATATATATATATATATATATATATATATATATATATATATATATATATATATATATATATAGTAACAAAACAAACAAATATAATAATAAACTTTAACAATTCTACTTTCGGAATAAACTTATGTTGAAATAAAAATCTAAAAAAGATTTTTATTTCAAAACAAAATATATATTTTCAACACAAACGATAACACACTTTGAAAAACAATTTACAGATTTTAATTTTAAAATCCGTACCGTAAAGGCAAGTTTCGCACTTACCTGCTAATATTCAAAATATGTTCTTAACGTTTTGCGTATTATCTTTTACTGTTCTTTGACTAGTAAAAAAAATTTAAGAGTTTGACAGTTGAATGATTAGCAATAGACTTTTCATACTTTGAGTTATCGTTATTATTAAAGTCATCATTACTAAAAGATTTTCATATTAGAGTTATCGTATTTTGATTGATAAATTGTTTTTAGAGTACTTGGACTGGTAAAGGATTCATTAAGTTATGTTATTAAAAATTCTTTTCAATCATAAAAAAATGAGAAAAACTTTTTAAAAAAATGTTTATGTTTTTTAAAACATCAAATTTGATCAATTTTTAAAAAGCAACAACAACAACAACAATACATCTTAATGTCAATGTTTTATATTTCTAGATAAATTGATAATTTTTTTATCTATATTATATTTTGAGAATTTTTTTTTATTATTTTTGGTATTGTTATTATATTCTTTCATTTTTTTTAGAAGTGTACTTACAACGACTTATATATCTGTGGGCGCAGCTGAATTTACATGTGTTGATTGAGGGCTTTGGTTTAGGAGGTTACCCTTTTTGTTAAAGAAAAAGTCTTTTCTTAAAAAGGCTTTTTAATTAACTAAAAGGGTAACCTCCCACATCTTAACTTATATATTCATATATATATATATATATATATATATATATATATATATATATATATATATATATATATATATATATATATATATATATATATATATATATATATATATATATATATATATATATATATGTTTATCAAAGCATATGTTTTATAACCACTAACCTGTAACAACACTTTCATAATAAAACAATCCCTAAAAATATAAATGGAAAATCTCGAATTCAAAATTTCGCTCGTCCCTCATCTCATAAGAATTTATAAGTTATGGATATTGCTAAAAATGATCAAGTAAAAATGATTTAAAATAATAAGAAAGAACTTTAAGCTACGGTTTGTAAATATCGCTGTTTATTGGTATTAATTTATTCCTAAGAAAAAAACGTGATTGAAAGAAAGAATGACATCCCACCAATTAAATGTTTTAACCAGTTTTAAAAAAATAAATTCCTTAAAAACTTGACACGTTTATATTTTATTATACACTATAGAATTAAGTTTTGTAGATAAAATAATAGCTTTTTACAAAAAGACCATTTATTCCATATATTTATTAGAGCGGCTTATTGATATTGATAAAGTAGAAAGGAGCAAAAGTTATTATGACATTTGTGGGAAAACGTTAGGACTACCAAGCCAGATTATATATATATATATATATATATATATATATATATATATATATATATATATAATATATATATATATATATATATATATATATATATACATGTAAAGACTTGTAAAGTTTTTACGAAACCATGACGCAATGTAAGAAAATACGATCAACATTTAAATGCATTAAAAAGGTGCCAATGCAACGTTTCATCATCTTTTCAGACAGAAGTTATTAAAATTAGAAAGCTTCTGTTTACATCACTGTCTTTTGAAAAGAAGTTTGGTTGCAAATGTATAATTTTATTTAAAAAGTCTATCTTAATATTTCCACAAAGTGATATGCAAATATGAATTGCAAAAAGAACATGTTAAACAAAAAACCTTTTAAATTTTCAATTGGATTTTTAAGATTTAAAAGTTTATTGAATTTCTAAAAAATTTATTAGTTCTAGCGTAACAATATTTATAATTTATTATTGCCATTTATTCATAAAATGTGTTTATGGTATAAGGTTATCTATATTTGTATTTAAAATACAGATAGCTTAACCATATCAATATCACATTCAATTAGCTACATAGAGCGGTATTTAATAAAAAAAAAGTCTTGTATACAAGGTTCATTGTGTTACTCTTAGGGTTGCCGGAAGCATCCCATATTTTAAGGCAATTTCAAATAAAAATTTATAAAATAGTAATTATAAAAACTGTAAAAATGTATAGTAATAAAAAATGTTTTAAATATGTTTGTATTATTACTTGGTTTTATTAATAAAAGTTGAACAAAAGCAATTCAGGCAAATAAAATAATTTAAATTTAAATTTTTTTGTAAAGTAGGAAAACAAACTAAATATTTTCAGAAAATTATCAAACTAGTATTTTAAGTTGTTGTAGAAACAAAAAGTGGCTTTTTATCATGTTTAGTTAGTCTGGCTATATGAAGTCTGGCAATTTCAAGTATGCAATTTCAAGAAGATATATATATATATATATATATATATATATATATATATATATATATATATATATATATGTATATATATATATATATATATATATATATATATATATATATATATATGTATATACGCACTTATATATATATATATATATATATATATATATATATATATATATATATATATATATATATATATGTATATATATATATATATATATATATATATATATATATATATATATGTATATACGCACTTATATATATATATATATATATATATATATATATATATATATATATATATATATATATATATATATATATATATATATATATATATATATATATATATATATATATATATATATATATATATATACATATATATATATACATATATATATATATATGTATATATATATATATATATATATATATATATATATATATATATATATACATATATACATACATACATACATATATATATATATATATATATATATATATATATATATATATATATATATATATATATATATATATATATATATATATATATAAGTGTGTATATATATATATATACATATATATATATATACATATATATATATATATATATATATATATATATATATATATATATATATATATTATATATATATATATATATATAAGTGCGTATATACATACATATATATATATATATATATATATATATATATATATATATATATATATATACATATATATAAGTGCGTATATACATACATATATATATATATATATATATATATATATATATATATATATATATATATATATATATATATATATATATATATATATATATATATATATATATATATATATATATATATATATATATATATATATATATATATATATATATATATATATATATATATATATATATATATATATATATATATATATATATATATATATATATATATATTATATGTATATATATATATATATATATATATATATACATATATATACATATTTATTTATATATATGTTAACGTGTATGATAGTTATCTATGAACCCAGAGCCTAACATGTATAATAAATATCTATGAACCCAAAGCCTAACGCATAAAAAAAATGGTTTCAACATGAATTAAAAAATAACACTGCGTCAAATCATAGACGTTTAAAGGCTTTCTTTATTTTCAGTACAAGTATTTTAATTAAAAAATCTGTTTTATACAGTAGACACAAAAAAAACTTCTAATTAGATTAACCCCAAGCCATTAATTATTAATAATCGCTTGAATTAATATTAATTTATTCTTAACAACAACAGCAAAATGGTAGAAGATATATTTTACTAAATAACTTATAAATTTTTTTAGCCTATCATAAAGACTTGTAGACTGATAAAATTATACAACAATGTAATTTATTTCAAACTTGTTTAATTTTTAAAAAACTTTTAACTATTCCACCGTATCCAACTGCTGTTCATAAAAGTAAAATTCAACATATCAACTCTTCGTATGGGAGGAACCTATTCTTTTATTTTATATAGATATATATCTTATATATATATATATTTCTTTTATTAATTTATTTAAATAAACCAAAAGAAAAATTAAAAATGCAAGAGCATAAAAAATAACTTAAAAAACGAATCAGCAGAAAATGTTTTTCAACAATTTACTCAGCTTTTCTAATACCTATTAAGATGCCGACATATCAAATTGATTTTTACCTCATTCAGATCAACAAAAAACGAAAGAGAGTTTTTTTCTTTTATTATACTGTTTTGCTAGGCTATTAAAAACCATCTGTAAATTATTCTTCATAGTTTATGCTAATAAGATATTTGCTTAGCCGGAGATTATTCATTTTTAAAAAAGATTACCAAGTAAAGTTAAAAGTTTAAGCCTAATATTTAAACAACTGATAAACAGAAACTTTTTTTTTTAGGTTGAAGATTCTTAATTTTTGTATTGTTAACTTGGATGATTGTTTAAATTAAAAATGACTGAGTTCAAAAACGAAACCTTCACGTACGATCATTCGAATACATCAAAAGTTTTGTTTTGGTTCTTCTTGTCTCTAGAAACGCTATTAATATGTGTTGGAAATACCGTTATTTGCTGGTTACTTTGTTTTAGAAAAAAACTAAGAACAAAGCAAAACATGTTTGTACTATCGCTGAGCGTCAGTGATCTTTTTGTAGGAATATCAGTCCCACCATGCGAGTATTGTGCTTTTAAAGTAGCTTATCCAAACAGTTGTGCCTATATTTGTGGCAGTGTAATTAGCTTTAATATACTTGCCTCTGCAGTTAATTTGACTCTTATAGCTACAGATCGTTACTTTTCAATTGTTATGCCTTTTGCTTACGAGAAAAGGGTAACATGGAAACGAGCAATAACGATAATAATATTTGCTTGGTTATTGGCGCTTTTTTTGACACTAATTCCTTTTATTTGGATGTTTGATGGTAAAATGTTGACGGCGCAAAAAATACGAACAAACATTATATTCAGCATAACGGTTTTTTCTTGCATTATTTTAAACGGATGGCTTATCGGAAGCATGTATTATAGAATAGTAAAAATTGTCCAATGGCAATTGCAAAAACGAATCAATAACAAGCGGCGAAACACGGCTGGTATTAAAGTCTGCATAATGGTTGCGATTAGTTATTTTATCTGTTGGATTCCTACAGCAGTTATTGAAGTTCTCTATCAATATATTGTTTATATACCTCTTGAGGTCTCGTCGATAGCTTACTTTTTATTGCTCTTAAACCCTTGTCTAGATCCTTTGATGTACGGCTATTATAGAAAAGATTTTCGAAAAGAAATATGCCGGCTCTTCGGATGCAAAAAGTCAAACAATCATTCAAAAAGTCAAACAAGTCATAGTTATTTTCATTTATCAATTCAAAAATCCCTCCCAGCACCTTCATTTAAAAAATGTTTTAAGGAAGAATATAAAGAAATTATACGATGAGATTCAGAACTTCATGTAAAATATTATAGATTCCAAAGAGCGTTGTCGTAACTATTCGAATTTTCAGTATTTTACATAAAGTTTTTATAATTTTAGATTACAAAGTTTGAAAATATATTTTGAAGTAGTTAGAGTTATAAAAGGGAACACATTTTTTTGTAAAAAAGAAATTGAAGTTTTTTATCTCTGTGTTTGTAGACTTAACCAAACTAAAATTAACTTTGATTTAATTATTATTTATTCATTATTATTATAAAAGTTTGTGAGACTGAATTGGCTAACAACTTTATTTGTTTTAAGGGCGCCCTATATATATATATATATTATATATATATATATATATATATATATATATATATATATATATATATATATATATATATATATATATATATATATATATATATATATATATATATATATATATATAGATATATATATATATATATATAAGAACAAAATACACCATTTGTGGTGACTTTTTATTTATTACTATTTTTTAGTTTATTAAATTACTAAAAATGGATTATTCTTTTGGCTTATTTAGCCAATTTAAAATAATTATTGTAAAAATTATTTATTAATAATAATGTAACTGCTAGGTAGTTTTTTAAATAATGTCATCGCTACAAAACTTTTTCAACACAAGTAATAATTTCCAACAGAAAGTCATAATTAAAGTCTTTGTTGTCAAGGATATCTAAATATATGCAATTTTTTAATGTAAAAAATATAAAGTCGAGGAAATTGATTTGAACACCTGTAATTCAAAAGGGTTATGCTCAAACTAATACTAAAACACCTGGATAGAATGCAACTCTATTACCTGTGGTGAGTACGGTGTTTCGTGAAATTTGTGTTATATAATGTTTTACAAAAATTTTCATTTATTGCAACAAGGTGGCAATGGAAAGTAAGAAACTTTAAATTGGTCCGTCAACAATTACAATATATACACATTTTCTCGTTCAACCAATTTTTGGGTTTCATCCGCTTTGTTTTTATTTGCTTCTGTAATTCTTTGATCGCAATTTGTATTTCCTTTTTAATTTTTTGTTGCAGTTTTCTTTTTTTTATTTACTGAACTCAAACTTCAAACATTCTGGAAAATCGAAACTTATTTACTTGCATTGCATTTTTTTAAATATTTTAATTTCCGCAAGTTTACTGAAAAGTAAAGTTTTTTGTTTGCAAGCATGTTTTAGGCCAATAAACTTTACCTACAACAAACTGTACGACGCAATTTTTTTTGTTTGTAAACTACATGGTGAACCTCTTTTTTATCTGCATGAATTTCATTTTATTCTCTCTGCTGAGCCTGAAGAAGCAATATTTAAAGTAGGAGAGGTGAGCTAAAAAAAGGAGACATATTGCTGAAATTGGATAGAAAGCTAGTTTTTTGTAATTGACTTTTATTTGCCGGAAATTTAACTACAATTTAACATGATTGGCTCGCAACATCAGAAAAATCAAAATACATCTCTTGTAATGTTTCCTAAACTATTTACATTGGGAGTAATGTTTTTTTCTTTATACTATAATGGCAGTTGCAAAAATATAACAATAGCAGCCAAATGTTTTCTTGTCTGATTAAATCAAAAGAATATTTACATTCTACAATGTGCTTCGATTCATGCAAGTCTTGACTAATTTGTATTTATGTTTAGAAAAAGTTCTGTAGTTATTACCATTTAATCCAGGTTTGAAATTTATAAGTGTTTTCTAAAATGCAAACATCTTCTGCAGTCGTGTGATCTTTAGTCGTGTGTAAACTTGAGAAAAATAACATGTGACAAAACTTGAAAAATAAATTTAGTTTTAATAACTTATGATAACTTTTCCTTATACGAGAATTGCATATATCGAAGATACCTAAAAAAACTGGAATATTTTTGAAACGGATGTCAAAATATAAAACGCATCTAAAACGCTTATGAAGGCATCTAGTCTTGTCTCTTATATATAAAAATGTCAAAAAAAATTCTGTTTTTATCAAAATTAGAAAAGTATGTATGTCTTCAACGTTCGTAGGTTTTCAACGTTCGTAGGTTTTATGTATCTGCATAAAATTTAATAAAAGTAAACATATGAAAATATCATCAGCATGGACAACCTAATAAGATCAGGTTTTTTTGAAACGTAAATTTTACTGTTTCACAAAAACAGAATTTGTTCAGTCTAAGTCTCAAAGTTTTTTTACAAGACAAAAAAAATAGCGAGCGCTCTACCACTGTAGTGGTAGAGCGCTCGCTTCGAAAGAGACAAGTTCTTTTCTTTGCGTCTCTTACTTGCGTCTCTTACTTTGCTTCACTTAATAATGCAGTGTTGTGTTTTTTTTTTAGATAGAAGTATCTTATTTACATTAGTTTGATGGAAAGCTTTGTAATTTTTTGTATTGATGAAAAGTTGAAATTGCGTATTAAATGTTGAATCTGCTCATCCCTAAAAGTTTAGAAAAAACAAACAATAATTTAAAGTCAGCAGATCAAAGGCAATCATTTCATCTGTACCTTTTTTTTACCCATATTCCAATAGTTCCCTTGTTGCTCTGTGTTAATCATTTTTTAATAATTAAATATGATCTTATATTATCTGTGCCATATTGTGTTAAATTACTTAAAAAAAAAAACATTTTCTAAAAAATCTTTTAAACATTGGTTTATGATGATTGTGAGTTCTTTAGTGAAGTTTTTATTATAACTTTGTTATTAATTTTATTATTAATTTTAGTTATTTTAACTAAAATAAATAATAAAACTAACCAAAAAAAATATTGGTCAGAAATACTTTTTAGATGATTCATTTGACCAAACATTTATAAGTGTTTGGTTAAATGTGACTTCAAAAAAGTATTTCTGACCAATGTTTAAGCAATATGTAAAAGCACAGTTTTTTCATTTTCACTAAAATTTAAGGTTTTCTAAAAGATTTTTAAAAGCAACTCAGGCAATTTTAAAACACGTTTCCTTAAGAAGAATTAAAAAGCTCAAATGTTTCGGCAATGTGGCCGTTTGTTGAAATGGACGAAAATACAAGTTATAATAAGAACATCAACAAAGATAAAAGTACAAAGTTGTTTGCAACAAATCATTTCTCAGCAGAAGTTTACTGCAGAATAAATATTTAAAGACATAAAATGTCTCTAGAATCAAGAAAAACACTTGAGAGACAAAAAAGAACTATTTAAGTACCTCTGATTAGCGTTAATTTTAACAAAGAAAAAGATTCAATTTTTTAAAATGTTCAATCACAAAGTAAAAATTTTGCTGACCTAAAAAACATCCAGAAATATTTTTGAGAAATATTAAGGATTAGGAAGAAGCTTTATTTATGCTAAAAACAACCAAAAAGAACAAGTGGCTTGTGACTCGTTCAAAATATTATAAAAGTAATTTTATGATCTAGTTTTATGGTTAATGACTAGAGCTACTTTTCATTTGATTTAGCAACTTTTTTCTAAATTTTTATGACTATTCATATGACAGAATTCATACATAATGATGTCAAACATTATGACAGGACTCATATACACGACATACATAATGATGTCAAACATTATGACAGGACTCATATACACGACATACATAATGATGTCAAGCATTATGATAAAACTCGTATACAGGACATAAATAATGATGTCAAGCATTATGAAAAAAAGTAAAATATGAGACAAAAGTTCTTGCTTCATTCTATTTCAAAAAAATGTGTACATAAAACCCACATCAGACTAAATGGAATGAATATTAACTGTCAAATGGAATGAATATTAACTATTAAAGGAATGAAACTAAGATTTTCATCAATACAAACACCTAGAAAGGTGGTTACTATTACTTTTTTAATTTTTATACTGTCAAGAACAAGTTGAGGCATGTTAATTGGCATTTTATATTTTTGATAATAGGATGGAAAAAAATCCATTAAGTTTTATTAATATTGAAAGATAATTTTTTATTGTGTTAAACCAGTCAGGTAAATAAAGTAGGAATGCTTTTATGTGACATAAATAAATTAGTTTCATCAGGAAACATAATTGTTATTAAATTCGAGGCTTTATATAGATCATTAACATAAATAAGGAAAAGAAAATTTTGTGAACACCAAAAACAAGCGAATGAACAGGGAGTAGATAATTCAAAATTCAAAACTTAAAAGAAGTTATCCAAAGATGTGAAAAAAAATGGTGGAAGGAGGAAGGAGTACAGTTTCCAACAAAATCAGTACAGGAAGCATTAAGTACTTTACTCCACAACTTGCTTTAATCTACAACTTGGATCTATCTATAAATAAATATCACGTCAAATATGCAAAAAAACACTATTGCAACCAGATAGTTATGAAGAACTATATATTATACATTTATAATTATAAAATTGAGCATTGATGACAAGCAAACCTAATCCCCCGTGATCATTGTTATTAAAGATGCTGTTGAGTCTTTGCTTGATATGTTTTTGTGCTAAAAATCATAATTCTGTACATATAGAGGCAAAATTTGGACTTAGTGATTTTAAACTTGTTACCATCTGATTCTCAAGATGCAGACTTATAGGGAACAAATTACTTTTGTTCTTTTTGGTGTCCCCTTGAAATTGAAGATACAAAAAACCAAGACAGATGTTGTTGCAAATAAATACACATGACATTTACTCCAGACTAATGATAAGAACACATCCAATGATTGCCAGTAAAAAAAGATTTTTGCAATTTACAACATGTGTAAAATTTAGGTATACCACGAGAGGGTATAAAGTAGATGTGAAAAATGTCCTTATTGAGGAGAAAATGATAATTTAAGAATATTTTCTGTAATCATATAAAATCAATAAGAGTAATACCTGTGTAAATTTAATTTAAAAAAAAATTTAATGTTAAACACAAATGTGTTTAACATTAAATTTTTTGAACTCAAATATATTTGATTTAGAATATGATATGACATCCTTTTCTAAAATTTATATTAGTCAGCAATTACCCATGTATATTAGTTATACAACATACCAGAATCACGTAACTTGACCCTTAAGCAACCTAACCAGCTGGTAGCTTGTTGGTCACAGGGATTCAGGTGCTTTATATATATGGGGCTCATAAAATTGGAGCAGACAAATAAAAAAAAATTTCCTAATTAATATTTTATAGTTTATCTGAAAAATTTAGATAAAGTGGGGGCATGACCCTCGGCGCCCACCCCTTTCCCTACCGTCGCTCCAATCTCTGCGTCATAGTG